AGTCAGCATAAGTTGTCTAAAACATCATAATGTGATGGGGCCACATGCCACAACCACCACCTAACCACCACATCCACACGCCAGTTAGAGCACCTCAATCATCCAACCAGTTTCTCTTTGATGTTCCTCGATCCAAGCTAAAATTCATCCCCAGACAGAGGCTCATGATGTTTGGGGGCCATGATGTGGAAAAGTTTGAGAACCCTAGAAAATGACCCTATAAGCTAAGCTACAACTAAAAATTCTCGTTTTAAGAGGGTTGGACTCAAAACGATAATTTTGGAAAATTTTGGATAGTTTGCATGACTCCAGGGGCGGTTCTAGGGGTGGGGCCACTGGGGCATTGGCCCCTGCTGAAATCTGATTGGCTCCGAGGTGCCCCTCTCCTGTCACTCATCTGTCCTTTGCCTGAGAGCAATGATGGTGGGTGCAGTTCCATGCCCAAACACTAGAGGCACTAATGAGTCAAACAGTGAAGTCCAGCATGACTCAGTCTTCAATTCAATTCAAAAATACTTTATTGATCCCAGAGGGAAATTAGGTAAAGGGGCGATATCATGTAAAATAAACTTTTTTGAGTTTTTTATCATCTTTTGTTATACTCTCATAAAAACATGCCCAAAGCCTTGCTCTAACTCATTCATGCATGTTTGAGAAATCCTGCAGCGTTTTTAGGAAGCCATGTTGAGTTGCAAAATGACAAGTGGGGACCAGAAACGCCTTTTGGTACCAGAAACGCCCCTGGGACGTGTCTTTAAGCCGAACGTCCTCATGGCAGAACGCACCCCCTCTCCACACACCCCGCCCATGACTCCTGTCGGCTCTCAGGTCAAAGTGAAAGTGAAACCTAGCTGCTGAGCTCTCAACATTAGTTTTCACTCAGTGAAGCTCTTTTCAGATTAAAAATACCTTTGAGGAAATGTGTTTTCAGATGCCAAGTAAACTGCAACATAGCGCACGCACCCCCCCCACAGCGCGCGTGCACAAAAACCCCTGCGTACAAATCCCCCCACCCCACCCGAACAGGACGGAACAGAAGCAGAAGGTGGTTCTTAAAGAGACAGAGGCCWATTTCAAGGCGTTCAGCAGAGGAAGTGATGAGAAGATAAGTTTATTTTCTATTTAAACATAAAAACAGCATTTTAATAACAGCTAAATGTGACATAGATACTTTATTATGGTATAGTATTTAAATATAAGCCTGAGGAACACATAATATTGCCCCTTTAAAGAAGTCGTCTTCTCTTCCTTTACAGACTTGAACTATCCCACAGAAAATATCTTTCAACTGGCAAACAATTTAAGCTTTTTTAATAACATTACATTATGTTACAAGTGTTGGAACATGTGACCGATTAAATTTATACACCTTTCAAAAACTGAGGATTTATGTGCATGGATGCTGAATTATAACAATTATAATTAATTATTATCGTTATATTATTATGTTATGGATATTGTGGCCCCTTACTTAGAAAAATTCCTAGATCTGCCTCTGCACGACTCAAAGGTTAACATGACCTCAACTTTTTTGTGGAAAAAAAGCTGCAAGAACCATAAAGCTCATTCACATCAAGTCCAACTTTCTGTGACCCGTTTAAACTTTGGATGACATTTCTACAGTGAAGCGATCGAGCTCACAAAAAGGCTAAACTTTTAGTTTTGTCGAAATTTCCTTGTGACAGGCGAAAAATATTTTTTTAATTGTCTACAATATACGTTCCCCAACAAGTGATCTCATTCCTGATCAAGCTGCATGTTTAATGTGTTCCTTCACTAAAGTTCACTTCAGGACGTGCATGCAAATACCTACAGCTTCGATCCATCTTTTGTCCGTTTATTAGCCTAGTTTTCCAGCTCAGTGGTTTCCCAGTGTTGATATTTTTTCCTTCAGCCATCGACTAAAACAAACTCTGCAAAAATCTACGAAAGCAGGGTATCTATTGCAAGTGATTGGAGGGGTAATTTCAGGTTTTAATGCATGCGTTACTGTCCAAAGCATGGCGGTTGAGCTTGTGTGTGGCACAAAGTTGTTATCGCAGCCCTCTGCTGTACCATTCGCCGTTCATATGGAAGAAATAAAGGTGCGTCATGGAGCCAACGCAAGAAGTGGGGCTCTTGTTTTGATACGCTGCGTTTCCGTAGTAACATTCAGGGGTCACGGGATTTTGGCAAAAGGGGCCAGGAAAAATCTGCAGAGCCTGCTGATGATCAAAACCCCATTTTTCAGGAAAAAAAAAAAAAACCTCTGTGACACTTTAACTGTTTGTGGCAGGATTTTCAGTAGGAACTCTTGAGGCTCCACCACCTCTTTCTACCGGTGATGAAAATTAAACTCACTGTGGAGTTAATGAGACTGGGTTAGGGTTGTTACTTAACGCTCACTGTGCTCAGAGACGCTGCAGAACCAGACTGAAACGGTGGCTTTTACAGCACTGAAATGTTTCARGCTAAATGTTTGCATTAAGTAGCCTGAAGGAAATGTTCAACTGACCATTGGAAACACATAGACACAAAGACAAAAACCCAGGTAACTTTAGAGATATTGAGCTAAAATTTGATGTTGTAGGAGCTGAATCATTCACAACATGTCCTCTGAGATCTGACGATCTCATTTGAGTCTGAATTTGTCATAAACACAGTTTAACCCAGGGGTCTGCAACCTGCGGCTCTGGGGCCACGTGTGCCTCTTTGGTCCCTCTGCAGCAGCTCTTTGAAAACATAACAGAATTTTTTTGTTTGTTTTTATACCAACAACAGAGATCAATTTGTATGCAAACATGTGATCAATACTACTATTACAAAAAAGTAAAACCTGTTGATTAGCTCATGCTAGCCTGCTGTTTACTTAAATAATCCAACTTCTTTCAATGATCTTTCTCTCAAATCCATCAGAATTACCTTTAAAGAGTTTAAAGTCCATGTAATAATAAGAATTAGAAAAGAAAATATGCCAGAATTGTTCAGTTGTACTAGTTTTTATGAAATTGGGTATAAATTATATACAGTATTGTTCTTATTTATATGAATCCGGTCTGTTCATTTGTCCTGATGTGTAAAAATAATATTAAATAATAAAATTCACAATATARTTTTTAGTTTTATAATGTCACCTCCACTGGCCGTAAAGGTTCCCAAAAAGGCCTCAAAAAGGCCAGCGAACCACCAGTTGATAATCACAGTTGTAGCTTGTTTTGCAGCTCTGAACAGATTTTTATCAGTGAGTCAAGGAGCAGAAATGGCTCTTTTGATTGTAAAGGTTGCAGACCCCTGGTTTAACAAAACAACTTTAACGTCGTTCCTTCAAAACTCTGGCACAGGGAGGTCCAGTCTTGGTCCTCAAGGGCCACAACCCTGCATGTTTTAGTGGCGTGGTTCCCAAAGCTCTCTGTGGTTCATGAAACATCAGGTGGGGTAGATGATTTATTCAACTTAAACACCAAATAAAGAGAAAACAATACAATAATAAATGAATAAAAGTCGAATCAGTTATGTTTGCTTATTATGCTCACGTCTAACAGAGTTATTAGCAAAGTTTGGACGGGAAAACCAGTAAAATCGGGGGTCACAAGTTTTTGCAACTGTTAATTTTGTGGACCGCAAATTAAAAAGTTTTAAAGGGTTCTCTGCCACAACACCTGGATCGGGTGTGTTGGTGGAGGGAAACCAGTAAAACCTACAGGACAGGAGCTCTTGAGGAACTAGAGACCTTACCATCTTTTGAACTGAGTCTCATGCAAAACACCTGAATCAAGAAAATCTTTTTCTTTTTTTAAGGATTTGACTTAAGTGACTGAAGGACTTTCTTTCTTTATTCTGATGTATCTGGTTCCCCAAAAGCTGTGAGAAATGAGGGTTTTTCTGCAAAATGTTCAGGAATAATCCARCTGAATACTCCAGCAGGTGTTCCTAAAGGTTCAGGAAAAGCAAAACCATCGTCTTACAAGAACTTCCCATCAACTGTGTTTCGAACTCTGCGTTTTTAATGTGTTTTAGCAGGATTTATTCTACAAAGTCAAAAATTGAAAGCGTTTCTTTAATAATAAACAATACGCAACACCAGAATCAGGGTTTCCATCTTAAGCATCACAGGCGATGCTGTTTGAGTTGCAGGTGAAACACAAGGAGCGTTACTGGGGTTCTCCCCCACATGTGGAGTGTTGGCTCTATTAGCACCGACGCACACACCAATCAGACCTGTTGCAGCGTGCAGGCATTCCCGTCTATTACAAAATTCAGGAATGTTCCACTGAGTCAGAAACAAAAACACTAAACAAGTAATACGCACTGGAATTAATGTGGTTGCAGGAACCCATCCTAGACGAGAGCCAGTATTCAGATCAGTTCAGATTCTGTGTGACTCAGCAGGCAGAAAAGTGCTGCCTCATGCTGATTTTTGGACCTAGACGGTGGCCTGTGAGTGACACCTGAAAGCGGGGCAGCGAAGAGCAGCGGCGGTGAGGCTAAGAGGGGCCGACTCTCCCCTGCTGGCTGCGGAGTGGGTGCGGTGCTCCTCGCCTCTCACCATCTGGCACCGCTGGGACTATGTCTAGGAAAGAGCCCGCTGCCAGGCCTCAATTACGGGGGGGAATAATCCAGGACATGCTGAAGCAATTACAACCTCATATAAATCAATATGCTTCAAGTAAAAAAAAAAAAAGTGCTCCCAACACTCTGGAGAGGCTCTGATTCAGTCAATCTTTCTGAGGCAGGAACAGTTTCTGTTGACAGCTGAGGTCAGGTGAGAGACTGAGGAAGAGTAAAAGTTAAATATTGGCTTGAAACGGCCGTGTCTAAGTAAACAGTTGCGACATTTATGTTGCACCAAATTACATTTGGGGAAAAAAAAAAAAAAACTACCATGTAGACCTGGGGTTCTCAAACATTTTGGGTCTGAGGACCCCTTACAAGTGTGAAAAAATTCCAGGGACCCCCTCATAAAAAATAATTTACTGTCATTTCAACCCCTAAATGCCATGGGAATATATATTTTTATTTAATTTATTATGTTTGTTTTATTAGTTCATTTTTGCCTATGCCTTTTTAAAAATAAAAAAACAAATGAACAATTCAGTGAAATTTTTTGAAGACCCCCAAGATAACTCTTGCAGACCCCAGTTTGAGAACCTCTGATGTAGACAAACGGATTGTTGTGCAACACCTGTGGCGTTTCCTGAGAGTTGGCATTCAAGTTCTAACTGAAGAAAAATCTAGTATTTATGTATCAGGATGCCCCAGATGTGGCAGCAGGGGGCAACTCACAGCTGACAGTCATTATCATGACTACACTGCCACCTGCTGGCTGAGGGAGACTACTGAAAGGAAGGGAAAAGCTGCAGATAAAGGATAAACTTGTGAACAAAACCTAAAAACCTAAGAGTTTGTTGGTAAACTTTGGACTCTTTAAAGGTTCAGGTCATGAAAAGAAAGAGGATTTTCACTGAAACTCTATTGCGACCTCGTCTGTGAATGTCGATTCGATTTTCACTTCGTGACTGAGCGCGTGTTCCCACAGAGCTTTCTTCTGGTAGAACTCCACCCCACAGTCCTCGCACGTGTAGCTCTTCGTTTTCCCCGAGTGAATCCGCCGGTGCTTCTTCATGTGGTACGACAACCTGAAGCTTTTGTCGCATACGTCGCATTTGAACGGCTTCTCCCCCGTGTGGATGCGCATGTGCGACTTCAAGTAGCCCGACTGGATGAAGGCCTTGCTGCACACGTCGCACTTGTACGGGCGCTCCCCGGTGTGGTAGCGGTTGTGGAGGCGGAGCTCGTTGACCGTCAGGAAGGTTTTACCGCACACGGTGCACTGGTGCGGCCGCTCGCCCGTGTGGAGGAGCTCGTGCCGCTTCAGCGACATCTCCTTCATGAACTGCTTCCCGCAGGTGGTGCAGGGGTACCGGACGCCGATGTGGACTTGCTCCACGTGGTTCGTGAGCTGCAGCTTGGTGCGGTACGCCATGTCGCACTGCTTGCAGGCCCAGGGCCTCGCCTCCGAGTGGGTCCCCATATGGACCGTGAGCTCCGAGGCCGAGCGGTAACATTTCCCGCACTGCCAGCACAGGAAGGGTTTCTCCCCCGTGTGTTTCCGCTGATGGACCGTCAAACAGTTGGAGGACCTGAACTTCTCTGGACACATGGTGCAAGGGTAAGGAAACTCTCCCTGGTGGATTCTTTGGTGGAGGGCGAGGTAGGACAACTGGACAAAAGATTTATCGCACATTGAACAGGGGAAAGGTCCGGTGAAGTTGTGCTGCTTCTCGTAGTGTTCCCTCAGGCGCCTCAGCACGGTGAACGTCTTATCACACATGGTGCACTGCACCGGTTTGTGCATCAGCTTGTGTCTCTCGAACGCCGTCTCGTTTCCGAGGATCTTTCCGCACTCTTTGCAGTAGAGCGGGTCGTGAATCCTCTGGTGCACTTTGAGCAACGTCATGGTCTTGAACTCCTTCCCGCAGTCGCGGCAGCTCAGGACGTCCCCCATTTCCACTTTGCACGACTGCTCCTGGTGTTCTGTCAGAGCAGACGGACACTCAAAGTGTTTGCCACAGTTGGAGCACCACACCGGTATCCTTTGCTGGGATCCCTTTTGGGCATCGACGCCGCTCGCTTCAATTTGATTAGGCCCGGCTCGCTGCTCTTTTCTCCAAAAGAAACGGGCGCTTTTCTTATGACAAATGGCATAAATCTGATGTCTTTTCAGTCCYTGCATGTGTTTAAAACGCCTCTTGCAGTGGATGCAATGATAGGGCCGCTCGTCTGTGTGGCACTGCAGGTGCCTGTTTAGTGTTTTGACGCTATCAAATGCCCTGGAGCAGACGGGACACAGCTTCATGTGTTTTTTGGAGTTTGGAATGAGCGAGGACACGTTCTTCTCCAAGATGCCTTCAGGTGCCTCAGTATTGCTTTCCTTTTTATCCAGTTCATCAGTATTTTCACACTTCTGAGCATCGGCTTCAGCAAGGATCTGTTCCACGGTTTTGCACTGCTCTTCCCTGGTGCCCTCGTGGTTGTGGATGATCTGGTGTTTCCTCAATGTGTCTTTGTACTTGAAGCCCTTTTCACACGTGAGGCAGATGAAGGGACGGTCTTCGGAATGGGATCGTAAATGCTTTGAGAAGTCTGCAGTGGATGGAAGGATCCTGTTGCAGATGGGACAGATTTTACCTTCAACAGACACATCTGAAGATGGCTCCATGTCTGGGAGTGGTGCCTCTTTCCTCTTGGGCCTTTTCACCTCTCTGCTCTTGCAGATCTCATTCTCGTGTCTCTTTAAGATGTAAGGGTTCTTGAACTTCTTGTCGCAGAAGGAACACTTATAGGGGCGGTCCTCTGAGTGGGACTTCAAGTGTCGCTTCATGTCTACTTCGCGGGCAAAATACTTCCCGCACAGCGAGCAGGTTTTACTTTCCAACATCTCTGAGGTGCAGGGATCCTCCAAGTCCTCGTCTTTAGGATTGCTGCTCAAGTCTCCCTTCTCGTGAACACGCATCGCGTGTCGGTTCAAGTCGTAATGGTCCCTGAATTGTTTGTCGCAGCTGCTGCACTTGTACTTGAAGTTGCGGTTTGCACTGTGAATTTCCAGGTGCCGCCTCATGGCCGCAGCTCGCAGGAACGTCTTGTTGCACACGGGACACGTTTTGGTGCTGGGGTATTTTTTCCGTAGCCTCTTAGCCGCCCCTTGATCGTTCTCTTTGAACGATTTTCTTTTTAGCTCGAGCCTCTTGCTCTGCTTCAGTGGTTGAAAAGCTGCAGGCTTTAAGGCGTCGCCTAAATCCTCGTGGGCGGTGGCTTCCTCGAAACTTAACTCGGTTTCTTCCTGATCGTCGCACTCATCCAGACCAGACGGCTGCTCGATCTGAATGTAGTCGAGCAGCGTTACGGTTTCACCCTCCACCTGGACGGTCATACAACCTGGCATTTCTGAAGAAGGTTGCAACTCTATTTGGTCAGGATGGATAACGATTTTCTCCAGCTGAGGAAGAGACAGCGAAGACAGGATACAGTTTCCAAATGTGGACGGAATGGTCTGAGTTTCATCTGTGGGGAAATTAGGATATTCTTTTAAATCACTGGTTCCTTCAAAAAAAAAAAAAAAAAACAGACAAAATTATTTACTTCAAGGCATACAAAGTATTTTACTTTATCTAAATGAAGTTTTATCTATATTTGAGGTAGAATTTAAACCAATTGAAATGTAAATTTTCTTTATTTTTACTTAGTTCTCAGTTGAGACAAGGCAATAATACAAGTACAGACTCACCAGAAAAATCACAAAGTCCAAGTGTTGTGTGGTAACGCAGCACAGTTTTTAGATGCTGGGGGTCGGGTACGGAGTGTGCACACTCCTCCAGGGCAGAGGGGACAGCACTGAGCATGGAGGCTGTCTAGACAGCAAACGAAAAAAAGAGAGGCAGAACAAAAAGTAAGTTCAAAATATATCTAATACATGTGATAATTTGAGCTGTTAGCATCTGTCCTGGGTAAGAATTTTTTTCACACATTTAAAGTCTTTTTTTTTTTACAATACCACATTTAGATAGATGACAAGTAGACATAGCATGAAAAATCAAATGTTTTAGCTATTAAATACATTTTGTTGTGTGCTTGAAGTCACTAGGAGTGCAGAAAAGTTGCAATTATTTTCACCCAGTGCTGCATAGATATCTTCATATTCTGTTTGGGTCATATTGTTTTAACCCAGTCAGTTTTCGCCATTTTCTAATAAATTTGTTTCAAGCATTACCTGTTGAATATCTGGAAGTGGGAGGAGCTTCTCCAGTCTGGACAGGAAATCCAACATCAGCATCTGCAGAGCGTTGTCGTAATCCAGTCCAAAGTCTGTAGGGAAAACATCCTGGAGGAAAACAATCGCAGTTTAGATTTCAGTGTGTGACGAGCTTATAACGTGCGATGGAGACAAGAAGTTAATACCTGGAAGAACTTCTCCTTCTCTTCAGGGTCCTTCAGCAACAACTCAACGTGATCCACAAAGTTTGACTCGGGAAACTGGACATCTGAAAAACATGGCTGGAGGAACAAACAAGCAAAAAGCACAGCAGCTGTTGTTTAAACAGAAATAATTYAAATATTACTTTTTGGTAACATTTTAAGAAGCTAACCTGTGCAGCCCATGTTGCTACAAGGGTCTTTATGCGGTCCAGATGCATCTGTATGGATTCTGTGTCTGCGATCTGCTCAGACCGACACAACTCAAGAACAACCTGCAAGAAATATGTTTATTTCAGTGTGGAAATAAACTTAATAGCTATGCGGCTATCTGGAAAACAAAGAAACAAGTACAGTTTATTATTTTCAAATTGGGGGCTTAAGCCAAACTTCATGGTGCTTCTATTAGGGTGAGGGGTTCTGATACAACAAACACCCCCAGGCTACAAAAGACCTGCTCTGCTTTGAGGAAATCTCAATAAAATAAAGGTGAGATTGGTGCCTGATTTGAGATGAGGGGACTATGTTTAATTATGTTCTTCTGCCATTAGTTTTGTGCTAATTGCAAACAGAAGATTCCTCTTTCATAGCAGGTTAGGCAAAACCAACGTGTTTAGAATGACCACAACTTTAAGATATGTTTAGGCTCATTTATTAAAATGCAAATGCTTAGAAAAGGTCTTAATTTACCCGTGCTCTGAGGCCCAGGAGGAGCTGAGCTTTCTGATCTGCGTTCAGCAGCTCAGGCACCATTTCTGTGACCGTGCTGACGAACTCCTCCACCATGCCGTAGTCCTGCACGCTTCCACTCTGCACGATGTGCCACATGGCTGCAGACACCAGGCGGAGAGGAGGGATGAAGAGGCGAAGAGACGGCAGCAGGAGAGGGGGATCTGGAAAACAATTACATTATTACGATTTAGTCAAAGCTGAAGTGAGAAACACAAACCTTTTCTTAGAAATTAAATATTACCTCCTGTATATTAAAAGCTTTTGAATAAATGTGCTTTAATATTATTTTATTACAGATCAAATTGGCTACTTCAGCATCACAAGAATGCTATTCATTGTTTTTTATTTAACAAAATTATACACAGGACAACTCAATTAGTGTTCAGCTAGTTTAATTTTAAAGGTTGATAACAAAAACAACTGAATAAATCAAACATTCATAGTAATGCATGAACAAGTAGATGTAAAAATAATTGTTAAAAAGGGATTTTGGTGTTACTTTGAAACTACAATTACTTTCATGACATTTTAGATTTAAACAAATCATTTTTTTTACAAACTACACGAACAACCACTGCTTGTTATTACTGTTTTTAGTAAAGATAAACCCAGTTAAGTGAAGGCACGTTTCCTTCAGCGTGTGGTACGTTCAAGAACACGTAAAGGTGTCGTAAAAGCGAACCACAAGGCAGGCGCATTCATAAAAATAGAGCAAATAATCGTTTTCATTACTGGGCCAACCACATCAGCGACACTCGAGATTACTGTTTTTCATAGAAACTCGGTTTAAAGTACCGGTCGATGTGTAAAGTTTAAGTTAGGTTTGCTTTAAATTAAGATGCTAGTTGTTTTTAGCCTAAAGCTAACTGTAGCTTTAGTTGGAGCCCTGGAAGGCACCATTTACCAACCATCACCGTCAGTTTTCTAATCTAATGATAACCTCAACTAGCTACACAACATGGAAGATATAAAGAGACAAATTTGTAGTTGGGTAACCACCCGGAGGGAGTCGAGCTTCCTTTTAAACCAAGCGCACACAACAGCTTCCGCGCTGCTGGCGGTGCAACAACACAAAACCAACCGCCATCTCAAAAGCGGGGTACGCCATATTCGAAATCGGGCGCACACACTCCGAAAGAAAAACTTGTAACTCGCTGCCGACAACTACTATTACAGTTTTCATGGTCTTACCCTCACTGATATCCCGTAGGCTTTCCATGTCGTACAGGAAATTGTTCTATTAGAGAAACAAATCAGCTAGGGGGTGTTGTGAATCGATGTCGGCCCGACCCTGCGAGTTGGCGGAGAGCGGAAGCGCGGCTTGGTGGACAACCGCTCTCTCCTCATGTCAACACAATTCTACTGCCGGCACGGAGGAGGAGGGCGGGACCTACAATGGTAGTCTGCATTTTGATTGGTTGAAACACTGGAATCTGAACATTCTGATTGGTCAAGTAGGCTGTCCAGCTTACCTAACCTCTTTCTACGTGGGTTACATGTGGCTTCATTTTATTATTATATACTATATATTATATATTATAC